ACTCTCTCAATCTTTCGTCATCACTCCGTTACGTTTACACATGTTCTTCTGGTTGTCGCACTACGCATTAATAGTTATGCTTAGGTATGATCCTACCTTGTGACACACTTAAGTTCAAGGTTTAATGCGTTTAAGTTTAATTAGAGTAACATTTTGCATCGGTAAGATATCTTATTAGAAGTTAACTAGTTTAGTATAAACATTAGTCGTCAGTACATCGAAGGATATGCAGATAGAGAGTTTAGAGGGCAGTGATAACAATATGTCCGAGTCATCCCATGTCACGCAGATCACTTTTCGGGCGCAACACCAGGTATTTTGACGATACCGAAATGCGAATTGTTAATATTTTCTATTTCAAGAAATCAGGATATTGTTATGTTCACCTTCGAAATTTACTCGTACTTTTTGGGATTCTACCTTCTAGAGTTTTGCAATTTATATATGAAAGTACTGAGTAAAAAAATTCTGAAAAAATATAGCTGGATTCTTTGAAGTTTTCTCTATTAAATACTTGACCATGAAACTCGGTTTCTATAAATAGTAAATAATCAATGATTATTAACAACGTATCAAGCTAATCTAGCTAAACCTTCTCCTAATTTTGTAAGAACTATATTGTATTTCGGTTCTATCAACATCCTTGACGTCGTATCCAAGAAAGCTCTCCTTCAACGTGAAACGACCCGTTCGCGTTTTTCAAAGGGTAGCAAACACGTATGGCAAACGGCAGCCATCTCATGGCACATAATGGCGAAGTTACAAGTAGAGAATCTGTTTTCTTAAGAAAAAAGAGGGGTAAAGTAGTAGGTTGTACACGACTTAAAAAGAATTTCATACTTTCCTTGCTGATATCTTTATTTAGTATTTTCGTATTAATGAGAATTGTTTGTTGCTCTTCTTAAATTCGCGATTAGCTCGTTATATCGATTAAAAGATCGTTTGATTGAAGTGGCAGAAGAAAAATTCGAACATCGTAACCATAGTTTTAGGAAATATCTCTTAGAGTAAACGCACAAATTTATTTGAATCATTGAAATCAGTTATTCGAATAATAATTACCCGAATGTTTGTAAGATACTTTAAAGTATCTTCTTTTTGGTTTTAGTTAACTGTTCCCATTGTTATTCTAAACAATTTATCACGAAACGTTTACGTACGAAAGGATATAAATGATTGGTTTAGATTTAATACAAAGTTCAAAACCGTTCAAAAAGGCCAAACGTATTCGATTGTTAATACGAAAATACCGGGATAGTTATTTTGTTTCGCGTAACGTAGATGATGTTCCATTGAATTCCGTTTAACGTTCGTTGATCGTCATTTTCAGATCGCAGTCGCACAAATGTTGTCCGAGAGAAGAAATTTCTTCTGGTTTGATGATGCTCGCGATTATGATGTTGTCATTGATCCTTTCGATGGGCCACCACGTTTCGGACGTGGATCGTTAATCGCGTCGTTAATTGCAGAGGATATCGTTAAGACTGCCCGCTCAACTGTAGCCACGTAAATATTACAAAATCCACATCGACTTATCGTTTTATATCCTACGAATGATCTCGAAGGTAAAGATTTGCAAGTCCAGCAAAGTCGAGAGAGTAAAGATTATTGTGCCATTCAAAGCGTCGTGTGTTAAAAACGTGTCATCGTTCGGTTTTCATCGTGTCGAATCGACGAAGTTATTTTTCTTTTTCTTTATAGAAAAAAGTAACGATAAATCGAAAAAGGGGGAAAAAGAAAGTCCAAATAAGTGGCCAGGGGCCATCTGGTGGCTTTCGTTTTTATCAGCGAAGGTCGTGCTGCACGTGGATCCTTCAAGCTCTTGTGCGGTATAAGATATAAAAGAGTTCGATATATCAGAAAAGTTGTATAATTTGTTTCTTGTCTTTCTTCA